AATTCCGGCCACGTTAAACATGACATTTGTTTACGCCCAATTTCAGATCAGAATTGGCTCTGACATTTTTCATACCGGATTCGATCTCACATTTTTGTTCTAGGTCCCTCAGTCAAACTGCTCAACTTTTTGTATTTATTTCCTGCGTAGCGAGAGACCTTTTGCAGTAAATCAACCCTTTTCCAAATATATACCGCCGCCTATCCGGACACCTGGGTTTGAGAATGAGCGGTTAGAAAACAACGCGATTGCAAGGCTTATCGGACCTATTTGACCACGGTATTTGGGTATATTCGTAGCATTTGCAGTACTTCTAGCCACAAATCTTCGGGATATGAACACAGCTGGTTCGCCCTTGAGGCGGACTACTAAGTCATCATCCCCAAAACCTTGCGAACCCCTCCCAGGACCGGCGTACTTTCAAACAAACCCTACGTTGCTGCGGCACGAGTCCATGCCGCTCGCCTCACAAGAAAAAAACGATAGAAAATTATAGCCTACAGAGTACAGACGAAAACTATTTAATGACATAAAATACACGACAGAGAATTCAATTGAAACAAACAGGCTCACGAAGTTACGACGCCATGATTGTTGCTGATGCTTCGTTACTCCCACGCTACCAACAGTGTATTTGTTTTTTGATCAATATACTTGCGCGTGTAACACGTGTCAACGTTTTAGGAGGTTAAACGGCTTGGTTAAAAACAAATTGGCTTATGCAAGAAAGAAACGGTTCTTCTCCGAGAAAGGGGGAAAGATAATCCAGGCGTGTGCACAACGTACAAGATGGCACGTCTGTTTTGGTACCACGCAATCTCGAACCCAGGAGTGGAAAGCATTAGGCGCTTGCACACTTCACATTTCGGAAAGAGGTCCATTATATCACTTATATAAAGTGGGATGGATAGGAATGCGGACAGCGGCAGCACCCAGATGAGTACTGCTGGACGCTCTGGATACCAGATGATCCCACCCAGAACTTGCGGCGACACGGCAAGAGGCGCGCGTTTTTTTGGCAGATTATGATCCCTTTCGATGACTGCATACTCCGTTCCGGATCACTGGAGTGAAGCGAAGCGAGCAATGAGCATCCCCCCTCTCCCCCCCCCCCCCTCACCCCCTTTCCAGCCACGCTAATAATAGAGCACAACGAGAGCGATTGTTTATTTATTTTGGCGTCCTCTTCTTTTGTAGTTCGCAAGAAAACCGTTAGACGGCACGCCATACTGGAAAAAAAGGTTTTTGGCGTGTCTATTTGACTCTCGTTTCAATGAGATTGCGTCACACACGCACGCACGCACGCACGCACGCATGCACGCACGCACGCACGCACACACACACAAACACAGGCACAGACACACACACACACACACACACACACACACACACACACACACACACACACACACACACACACACACACACACACACACAGGTCAATTGGTTCCGTTTGCGACATCGTTGCCGGTAACCAGAGTAGCCAAATGAATAGGTTGGCTAGACCGAGCGGCCTCTGATATTTTTCATACTACATGATCGGAGTTATAATATTATTCCTTACTACTTCGACCACCTTGAGTTGGCGACCGTCAGAGACACTCCCGGTTAGTGTGTAGTCTCTTTATGCCTGTCTCAATAATGAGGAAATCCGAGCAAGCCCAAACCATTTAGCCAAGCCTACCGAGAGCGATTATTGGCTAAGAACATAATCGGATCAACCGAAAACAAGACCAAAAAGCGATCAAACCCCACAATATCGAGCCACGAGAAGCTACATTTCCTCCGAATAAAGCGGCAAAGCTATCCACTTGGAAGCCGACTGCAGAGTTGTGAGACAGATTCTTTCATCCTCGTTGCAAGGTATCAAAAATGCGAAAGAACACGTAATAAGACGTCCCTGTCTGGCGTGCATCTCTTCGGCAGTCCTCGGAAATTCGGCGTTCGTCGCCGGTTCTCGGCCGGCTGCTGTGTCGCCCGGGGTCCCACGGTGCGGGAACAGCTTATCAGGGCGGCACAGCTCTCCGAATTCGAGACGGCGTGGCCCGGAAGCTCACGAATGCCTACAGCGGCATGGCTGGGTCGGCGAGCTAGTGGGCTCCATGTGCACCGCCTGGTGTTGGATCGAACTCGTCATTTTACCGCCCGTGCCATGGCTCACAGCTCGACGGCAGTGAGGGGGGCGTCCATTAGACAGACTACGTGCCTCCTCACATTAACGCTTCGAGTGACAACAGGAAACTCGTCAATATAACAGGTCGATGCGAGCTGTCCTTAACGCTAACGGCATCGTGTGTTGTTGTTTTTTTTTGCTAAGATTTCCTCCATTGTGAGTATTTTTATTTTATTTAGAAGCGTGTTTGGGAGCCTGCCGTCACGCACCAGGCTCCGGTCTTCTCAGTAAAAAAAGAAGAAAAAAAAAAGAAAGAAAGAAAACGAACGATTCAAATAACAGATATCGACTGGAAATCAGGCATGGGGAAATTCTCGAAGGGAAGGTCGGGCTTCTGAAGACGACCCGAAATAAGCACAGAAGATAAATATGAGAGCTGGGAGTACAGGTTTGTCGTCGAATTAGCACTCCGCAAAATTGGCCACGTAAAAAAACAAATCTGCGACAGCTACTTCTTCAGCTTCTTGAGTTCAATAAAGGGTCACTGTTAGTTAATTCTGAATACTTGTTGAAAGTTTTCAAACTTATTAAGTGGAAACATGCTCCTAGGATAAAACCTTGGTTTTTAGAGTAAACAATATTAGGCGCAACTAGTTAGCCCCTTCAAGAGCTGCGCAATTCTGGTGCGTGCTTTCGAAATGGGCAATGAACTCTTCTCAAAAATCAACCCGACTACCACGTGCAGGCACTTCAGGTTGGACATCACAAAATTCGAGAGGCTACATTAACATACAGCAAGCCACAGCGAATGAATTTCTACGAAATGGCACGTACAAGCCTTTTTTTTTTCTAACTGGCAGTAATTCGCACCTCCGTGTGCTACGTTATCATTTTGGGGTTAAAATATTTGCGAGTGAATAATTTTTTTTATGAACACCTACTTTCGAAAATGCCCTGCAACCGTTTCAAGCCTTATTACGTATTTCTAAGGCGGCGCTCACAGCACGAGCTCCCGGTAGCTTTCTAGGCGTTAGCGGTATGTTAAAACTCTCTCCGAACGCGAGATAGCGGGACATATTTCTGGATCAAATGAAATATGCCAATCAAATTTGAAAAAAAAAAGATAGATATAGTTATTAGGGCGTGGTATAATATGTTCACATTCTTGCTTCATCATTGGTTCCTGGGCATTTGTATTGGCTAATGCCGCCATCTGCTTGGCTGGGGAGCGATCCCCATGCCCTGCCTTTCTTCATGTGTCTCTGGAGGAGTTCAACGCGCAGCATACAAAGCACGGATGTCCCGGTTATTCGCAGCCATATATCAACGTACCACAGTCAAACGCTGCTGTGGGAATAGGTCTTTAGACAGCACAGTAGAGTAGTTAACAGCCTACCAGCTGAATGTCTGCTACAATTGAGTGCGTCTTTCACTCAATAGGACTGACCGTAAGGTGCACGCGATTTAACCTTCTCGCTCACACATCTTTAAGCGCTCGTACATCTGGATGTTCTCTGCAGCCACACAACCGGATACTGGGGTAGAATAGAATCAAAACGTATAAGCAGCAAAAAATAGACTTGAGGACGTCTCAAAGTCAGCTAACTCGTTGATTTAGTCCACCTCTTCATATAGTCTCAAACTCAGGGTCGTCACCACCAACACAAAAGGGACCAAGTCTATACTCAAGCGCCACAACCACCATCACACAATGTAAGAATGGGGACAATCTTACAGGTCGCCACGCTAAGGCAACACCCGTCCTTTACAGTTGAACAAAATGATGGTTAATAGAAACATGGTTAATATTCACCAGCTCGCCCGCACCCTTACTCTATTTTCTTAAAACAGGATAGAAACTGTGGCATAACCTAGAAGCGATCATAGTCACTCGGGGTGTCTGCGTTCACTTATACTGTCCATTTTTCTTCGGTCAACTTAAATTGCGTCACCACCAAAAAAAAAAAACCTTCATTTGTGTTTTTAAATTAATCTTACACTTAAAAAAAAAAAAAAAAAAAAAAAATCCTGCGCGTCTGCTTACCCGCAAAACACACAAAGAGCCAATTTCTGCGATCTACGAGATCAGCCCAGCAAATGATGAGGCGGAACATCCAGATCGCAGAGATTGGCTCTTGGAGTGTTTTGCAGGTAAGTAGACGCACAGGTATTTCTTAGAGCATATGTATACGCTTAAATGCCATGTTCAAGGGTCAGCAATCCGCAGCTTACGACCTACGTAAAGGCCCTAATGTGAATGCATCACACTGAGGCGCCCTAGCTCAAAATATTGAGCTCGGTCGTTTTCTACATGTTTGGCGCCGCTCGTACTTCACTTGAAATGGTGTGCACCAGACTTACTTTGTGGCTATTGGTGCGAATGAACGCAACAGACCCAAGCATCAAGGAGAATGCAGGGATTGGTGTTCCACGCGCCGCACGTGCTGGCCTCAGCGGTATAGTAAAATTTCGAAAGCAAAAACCTAAAACAAATTGTATCTTGTACGCGCGATCGTCAACGCTTTATTTTAGTAATTTACTTTAAATATTTTATACGGGGAATGCGTGCGCGTGTGGCGCGTGGAACACCAATCCCTGCATTCTCCTTGATGCTTGGGTAATATAGCAAATGGTCTATTTGTGCCAACCTATTTCTGCGGACACTCAATGTCGTTTCGGAAAATTCAAGACGTGCGACATTAACGGATCACATAGGGAACGTGGAAACTGGTGTCATTTATAGCTACGTAGATGAGTTACAATCGACTCTCAAACAAGGCCATACTGACCACTAGACCAGTGGAATCGATGGTGCGGAGTTTGAGGAGGAGGAGGAAAAACTTTATTCAATAAGGAAAAAAAAAATTGAGCGCCGTGAGTGGACTCCTCAGTCCAGGACTCCAATGGACCTCGCTGCCGTCCTAGCCCTCTCGATCAGCCGTAGCTGTCGGTCCGGGTCAGAGCTGCACAGCTCTTCCTCCCACTGCTCGATGGTTGGATGGGGTATTGCTGTGATATCCTTATTGCGTTGACAGGCCCAGATCATGTGGTAGAGTGTGGATGGTTCGTTACAATGGGGACAGTTTGGTTTGTGTAAGTTTGGGAAAATGGCGTGGAGTCTTGTAGGGTGGGGAAAGGTGTTAGTCTGTAATTGCCTGAGCATTGTTTCTTGTTCTTTCGTAGTTGATTTGTGGCTCGGCGGGTAGGTAAGCCGGGAAAGTTTATAGTGTTGTGTGATGTCTCTGAATGTTACCAGTGGTTGGCTGACCCACTTCTGGTCCTCTTGTGGAGCCCGGCCGGCTAGTTCTCGGGCGCTCGCATGAGCAGCGAGGTTTCCACGGAGGGTCGAGTGCGCAGGTGTCCAAACGATAGTCACGGTTCTTGTGGGGGGTGCTTGAAGTAGAATTTTCAAGGCGGTTCTAGAGATTCTTCCGTTCGCGTAGGTTCTGCAGGCAGATTGTGAATCTGTGATAATTGTTGTGGCTGGGGTTTGGGCGACAGCGAGAGCGATGGCCACCTCTTCCGCATGTAGCGTAGTAGCCTGTCTAAGTGTGAGGCTTGTGAGGATCTTCGAGGAGTTAGTGACCACCGCTGTCATAGCGGGTCCCTGAGCATAGTCGGCCGCGTCAGTGTAGACTGTTTCGTCATTTTGGCCGTATATTTTCTCCAGCCATCGAACTCTGGCTGTTCTCCGTCCCTCATGATGTTCTGGGTGCATGTTGCGAGGGATTGGGGCTACTTCCATGTTACTTCTAATTTCCTTGGGGATATCTTCTGTGGAGGTTTCGGGTTGCCGGGGCGGGTACCCAAGGTGATGTAGGAGTTTGCGACCGGTTTGGGTGATTGCAAGCCTTTGTTGTTGGGACGTGAGATGGGCTTCTATGAGTTCGTCCAAGGTGTTGTGTAGTCCCAGGGCTAGCAGCTTCTCGTTGGATGTGTTGGGCGGTAGGCCTAATGCTTGTTTGTATGATTTCCTGATTAGCACGTCTAATTTCTTGTGTTCGCATGACTTGAGCGTCGCGTACGGTGTGGCATAAGTTATCCTGGAAATGACAAAGGCTTGCACGAGGCGTAAAGTATCTTGTTCTTTCATTCCGTGCTTCTTGTTGGTGATGCGCCTTATCATGTGAGTGATCTGACCCACTGTGGTATCTAGTTTTCGTACCATTTGGTTGTTGCTGCAGTCTTCCTGTAAGGTCATGCCTAGAACTTTGATGGAGGGGGAGGGCCTGATGCAGACCCCGTCCAGTTCTATCTCGATGGATGCAGCGGTGTTTTTAAGGTGGGACCTTTTCCGCACAAGAAGAAGTTCCGACTTCTGTGGTGCGCACTTCAGTCCGCAGCTCTCGGCGTATGTTCGGACGATGTCGGTGGCCTGTTGTAGTTTGTCTTGCATCTCTCCCTCAGATCCCTCTCTTATCCAAATTGTAATGTCATCCGCGTACAGTCCATGGTGCAGTCCCGGTATTTGATTCAGCTCTTTTGGGAGGTTGATAAGGGCTATGTTAAAGAGAAGCGGAGAGAGTACTGCTCCCTGTGGCGTTCCTTTGCTTCCAATGTTGATGGGCTGTGATCTTTTATCTTCAATCTTGATGACCGCTGTTCGATCTGTGAGGAAGTCACGGATATATGAATACATCCGTTCTCCACATCCAAGGTTATTAAGATTCTGGAGGATTGTTTCGTGGTTAACGTTGTCGAAAGCACCCTTGAGGTCGAGGGCAAGGATGGCCTTCGGTGTGTGCTTGCTGGCTTGGCTAAGGATGTCCTCTCTCAGCTGAAGTAGTATGTCTTGTGTTGAGAGGTGAGGACGGAATCCAAACATTGTGTGCGGCATGAGTTGGGAATCCTCTAAGTAATTTTGGAGTCTGTTTAGGACCATATGTTCCATCAGTTTGCCGACGCAAGAGGTAAGAGAAATCGGTCTGAGGTTCTCTATGCTTGGCTCCTTGCCAGGCTTGGGGATCAGTCTGATCTCTGCTGCTTTCCACGCTGGAGGTATGCTGCCCTTTTCCCAGCATTGATTCATGTATGCCGTGAGCAAAGTGACTGATTTGTCGTCAAGGTTCGCAAGGGCGCTGTTGGTGATTTGATCCATGCCCGGGGAAGTGTTTTTCCTAATTTTTGTTAACGCTGCTCTGAACTCTGCCTCAATGAAAGGCTGGTCCAGCGGTGAGTTATGTGGGCCGGTGTAGGGTGTTGGCTGGAGGGGTTGTGTGCTGGCTATGTATTTGGCTTGAAGGACTTTGAAGAGATCTTCTGTAGTGCCTGGATATTGGTGTAGTATCCTTTTGAGGGTTTTGTTGGTTTCTCCTCTGCTTTGCATCGGGTCTATTAGGTACCTGAGCAGGTTCCAGGTTTTTGTAAGGCTCAGAGTGCCTCTGAGGTCATCGCATTGGCCAAGCCAGTTTTGTCGGCAGAGTACCGCTGCATACACATCTGCCTCTGCAGCTAATTTGGTTATTCTGAGTTTCAGTTTACGGTTGAGCTTTTGTTTTCTCCACCTCTTCGTGAGGCTGCGCCGGGCTTCCCACAGGTGTAGAAGATAATTGTCTATGGCCGGGATTTGCGTTGTGGTTTGAAGAGTTCTAGTGTGGCGTTGGACATCACGGCTCAGTTCTTTTACCCAGAGCTCTATATTCATGATGGGATCATCTGGAGCGGTTTCCCGGTTTTTCCTTAAAGTTTGCCAATCTGTGATTCGGGCTTCGCCAAGTTGCCTTCGATAGGTGGTCCCTTGTATTTCGGTCTGGACGAGCATGTGGTCGCTCGAAAAGTTTTCTTCCAAGTTCATCCATGAAGTGTGGGGGGCATTCTTGGCAAGAGTGAGGTCGGGGCAGGTGTCTCGCGAAACGCTGTTTCCTACTCTGGTTGGTTTGGCCGGGTCGATGAGGAGCGTGAGCGTTTCGTTGTCGATGCATTCCATTAGTTCTTTGCCCCGTTTGTTATAGTAGGGGTACCCCCAGGCAGGGTGTGCTGCATTAAAGTCGCCTGCAATGAGGAGGCGACTGGCCCCCGCTTTTTTTGTGGCCTGGTGGAGCAGTGTGGCCAGTTCACTGTGTCGGTTTTTCGGGCGGCAGTAGATATTGAGTATAAAACAGTTGTGGCCTTTAGAGGTTTTGGGGGGAATCAACTCTGTAAAGATGTGGTCGTGCTCGGATGCTGGGAGAGTATGTTGAATTGCAACGATGTCTTTCCTGATTAAGGTGCAGACGTCGCGTCCTTCGTGTGTTGTATGTGTAGTATAGCCGGGCAATCTAGCTAAGGCGTTAGTTTCTTGGAGGGTGATAATATCTGGCGGTTGGTCGATTGAGGTGATGTATTGTTGTAAGGTTCCTTGTTTATGTTTGTATCCTCTGCAATTCCATTGCCAGATGCGGAGCGTATCTAAGCATTGCTGAGTTGGTTTAGTCATTGCTAGCTGCATGTTCTATGTCTTGAATTACTGGAACTAGTTCAGGGCGCTGGTAAGGTTTCTCATTCCTGCTTAGGCGACCGGGGATTGTTGTCTGTTGGCTAGTTTCAATTTTGTCCATTCGGACCTGTAATATTGTGAAAGTCTGTTGTTGCTGCGTGGAAATTTGTGTGAGTTGTGCAGTTAGGCTGGCGAATTGCTCGTTCATTTGGCTAGCAAAGAGACTTAGAGTTTGTTGGAGCTCGACTTTGGTTACGTATTGAGACCTGCCTTGTGCGTTTGGGCTTGGAGAGGGTACATCCTCTGTGGAAATTGACTGTAGTTTCCGTTTTTTCTCATTGGCTGGTGTTTCCGGTCTTTCTGGGCTTGGAGTTTGGTGCTGTGTCAGTAAAGTCTTTATGGCTTGTAGTTCGCTTCGTAATGTCTTAATTTCCTGTTGCAGTGCCTGACATTCCCTACAAGGTGCGTTGGGGAGTGGAGCACTGGAGGAAAGAACTTTAGCCCAGTTCACCTGGTTGACAGTGCATTCTGCGTAGTTTTCTGCTCTGACGTCCCGGTCCGCAGATGCACCGGGTCCCGAGCGAGCCCGGCCCGAGTCGCAGTCTCTCCGATCCACAGACACCCTGGGCCTCGAGTGGCTCCGGCTAGTGCCGCCGCGGAGGCGCGGGAAAGATTGGGATCTGGAACGGGGCCTGTAGTGGTCGTCGTCGTGTCTCCCTCTGCTCCTAGGTCTTCGGGTGGTATCTTCGTACTGTTGTTGATTGTTCTCTTTCTCCCATTTCTTTTTTCTGAGAATGTAGGGCTCTTTGTACCGTTGCTTGCAGTCCTTAGAAGCAGTCAGGTGGCTGCCTTGACACAAAGCACATGCAGGATTGCATGAGTGTTCTTGTTGGGGATTGTGTGTTCCGCACTTGTCACAAGTCACCACGGTTGGGGTGGGACACACGTCCGCGCGATGTCCTAGCTTGTGGCACGTGTGGCAGTATGGAACCGTTTTTTTGTAAATGTAGCAGCGAATTTCGGCTCCCCTGTAATATATGTAAAACGGTACCTTCGTTCCGAGTACCGTGATTGCTACAGAGTTAGTCTTTCCGAGTCTCCTACATGCGATGAATTCGTATCCTGGCAGCCAAAGGCTTTCGAGGATATCCTTTGAGGTGTGGTGAGCTGGAATTTCATGAATGACGCCTTTACAGGAGTCGTGTGGCGAGAGCCCGTAAAGGTTAATTCCATACTTTTTTCCTTGGATGTCAATTTGGGTGACCGTGGAAAGTGCTCTTGCAGCTTCCTCACGTGATGTGCTAATGGTGATGATGTTTTGTTCTTCGTCGACTCGGATTCGTAGTTCAGCTTGTTTCCACATCAGTTTTGCTGCAGCGAGAATGCTGTCCGAAAGAGTTGATACGTGGTACTTTTTCAAGTCTAGACCGTCCTTGGGCCGGATAACCATCTTATAGTCGTCCATCGGAAGTGCTGGCGGTCTTGGAAGTGGCACTGGCTTGACGGCCGTGGTTTTCGTATCGACAGAGAGGGGGGTAGGCTTGACTTTGTCATTGCCCTCGTACATCCTCTTGTTCTTCTTCTTTGAGTGTTTACTGACGACATCAATCCAGTCCCCTTGGGTGTCCACCCCGTCTGAGTCTTCGTGCTCCAAATCTTGGAAATCCATGTTATTGTTCCGGCTCGGCGACGTGGATCTTTCATCAGGCGAAGCGCGCGAGTTCGTATCTGGTAGTGGCATCTCGAAGCCGCGCCAAGCTTGGCGCTAGGCTTAGCGTGGCGGCCGCCGCTTCAGGAGTTCAAACGGTTATATAATTGTGAAAAGTCGACTCACAGTTGGGATGTTCGTGTCCCCGTGGTAGCGGTGACGTTGTCTCTCAGATCGTAGTCTCCTTTCTTCGAAGAAACCGTTATTTTCACGATTCTGGGCTGAAACCTTGCATAGGCGAGAAATCAGGCCTCTGACCAGGCTCGTCGTCGTCGTCCTCCGGTCCGGAGTTTGATCCCAAGAAAACCGGCTTATGGCATCCGAAGTCGGGCGCTAAGTTCCGACGCATCTAACAAGTGAAGAGCATACACCTTTCATCGGTGCTCGAGATGCTCGAGCGCATCTGCGCACGTATCGTTGACTGCATAGCAACAGAAAAGTGTTGCCCAGTACATAATCCATTCCATTTCGGGTTCGCTAGTCTCATCAAACAAAAGTATGTTTTGGGTTACGACCTATAAAATAAAAATAAGCAAAAAAAATTTTTTTTTTTTTTTTAACTTGCACATTTGTTTATTTTCGTGACTTTTTTCATTGAAGCGACCAACGAACCATTCCACTCCTTGGGCACCAAACCAGAGTAGAACAAGAAAGCACACGGAGGCGATCGTCACGACCAGGATTCTCAGTATCGACCAGTGTTGTAGGCTTTACAGGAAAAAAAGGAACGAAATACGTTAATCGTTACTTGCAAAATAAAGGAACGCGTTATCGACCTACATTACCCCAGAAGCAAAGGAACGCGTTACCGGTATGTTATCGATGAAAGATAAAGCACGTTACTTGTGCGTTCCATTTTATTTATAAATTCATGATAACAGCGTTTTATGGGGGCGACAGCATCTTTCGACGCTGGGACAAAGGGCATGGTCGTTGGCGCTTTTCTAAAGTGGGACTCTTTTGCGTAGGGAGATGACAGACAAAAAGTTTGAAATCACAAGGAATGGGTGCAATAATTAATGACTTGAGGGGGGGGGGGGGGGCGCCTATACTTCGTTTCAGCTTCAGTCCAGACGTAGCCGACGCCCCGAGGTAATGGGACCAAGGACTCAGCGTCAAAAATGCAAGTCACTGGGCCTTTTTTGTTTATCATTGGTTCAGCGATTATAGAACACGTACATTAACAAGACGAACACTATGAGGGTGCGCTTTTGACGCTGTCTGATTGGTTCCATCAGCTCGTAGCGTCGGCTGCGTCTGGACATAAGGTAAAACTAAGTATACAAACACGAAAAACATGTAAGTGTACTTTTTCCAGCTTTTGGCAAGTGACAAGTAACGTAACTACATTACCCGTTACTTGAAATAAGCAACTAAGTACGTTACCCATTACTGTTTTGAAAATGTAACGTTATTACATTACCGAAAAAAGTAACGCGTCACCGGTAACGCCGTTACTTGTAACGCGTTACGGCCAACACTGGTTTCGGCAACAGTGTTGTCGAAACCAGTGTTGGCGGTAACGCGTCACCAAGTAATGCGTTGGTAATTGCATTACTTAGTAATGCGATTACCAAGTATCCGCCGTGCTTTTTATACACTGTAAAACTGTGAAGTTTTACAGTGTATGAAACGCACCGCGGATACTTGGTAATCACATTCTTAGATGAACACCGTAAAGGTTGAAGGTCTGGTACTTGTCTTATTTCTGCCAATCAAACAGCATGTGGTAAAAGACTTATTTGCAATTCGTATCCAGTTTTTCGGCCATTTTGGCTATGCTCAATATCAAGGATGGGCAAAATACATGCAAATATGTATCGAAATACAAATACAAAATACTTCGTCAAAAATGTATTTAATTACAAATCTAATTACATTTCCAAAAAAAGTATTTAAGAACAAGATACAAATACAACCAAATGTATTTGGCCTCTTCCAAATACTTTTCCAAATACATTCCTCAAAATTTGCGTCAGCGACTAGGGCATCCGCAACGGGTTTCTGTGTATCTCATTTTAATTTTGCATCACACACTCGGGAGTTAGTGTGCGAGGCTCTAGTAACGTAATAGAAATATAATAGAAAAATTTAATCAGCTTGGATGTCTTTGCTTGGACAGCTTTTTTTGGCGATTACAGTTTGGTATAGACCAGGGGTGGCCAAGCTGCAGCTCGCGAGCCGCATGCGGCCCTTCGCGTGAAGTGCGGCTCGCGGCTGCCTCCCCCACCCTCACACACACACACACACACACACAATCCCCCGCCTCCCTCCCGGTCACACGAGCACTTCCCCAAAGGGAAAAATGGAGCGCGTTTTAAATCAAGACAGTTGCGGTTTGGCAGTATTGTGCTACTGCTACCATACGTACGGTTGGACTGCTTTTGACTCGGATAGATTGAAAGTAGTTCGAGTTCTAGACAAAAGATTGCTGCCGAAACCCCCCCCCCCTCCCCCCCCCCCCCCCCCCCCCCCCCCGCGGCTCTCTGAAATTTCGTGGTTTTGTTAACGGCTCTTAGGCCGGGTCAACCTGGCCACACCTGGTATAGACCAACAAAGAACCGAGACGACCGAGACGCGCAGCACTAGCTAGAGAATTTTTTGTTGTTGCAACTCGCACCAGTTACGAAAATCTGGACGATCCGCGCATTTAGAATGTTCCAGGCAAAAATGTGGATGGAAATCAGGCTGGAAAGCATCACAAGTTGTCACAGGCACTTATTTAGCCAGTCTGCCTGTGAACGTCGATTTCGTCACCATTCCTGCTCTGGACTAGCGCTGTAATCACAATTTCACTAAACGCTCGTGGTTGATTGAAAGACACTGCAATCGGTGCAGAACGTAGTTTTCTTCCTGCTCTGGACAATGCCTTTGAAATAAAGCCGGAGGGGACAAGAAAAAAGCCCCATGGCCGAATAATGGATGGAGACTATATCTTAGAACCACATGCATAAAAACAAGATGTATTTTCGCCCACAAAATTGTATTTAATTACAATTGTATTTAAAATACCCACGTTTTAGTATTTAAATACACACGTCAAATACATTACCCAATTTGTAATGAAGTACGAATGCAAAATACACAAAGTAATTGAAATACGTATTTCAAATACTTGTATTTGAAATACTGCTCATCCCTGCTCAATATGTAGCCCCAAAGGGCTAGGTCAATTCCAGCCAAGTATTGTTGTGGGGGGCTTCGCCCCCGGGCAAACCTTTATACTAATAAAATCTTTTTGTTTTCTTTAGGTAGTGATTATTGACGACACAGACGACCAAAACAGTCGGTGTGGTCAGTTTTCCAAGAGAGGTGAACCGGGATTAATT